GACATTTATATATAAGAAAGTGCCTCTATCCCACATCAGACAGGAACGGGAGGTCTTAGGCTCTTTATAAGCGGGTGTGCTGCACACCCCTATAAGTGTGTTTATGGGAAGAGAGTAATGACCCCGTGACATTTATATATGGTTGGGGTGGCAACTAGGGATGTAGGAAAAGCTTAGTCTCGGCAGGATTAAAGTCACGAAGGTGGGGCTGGTGGGTTCAATGTACATGTTGTTTGGGTCCATGCGCGTATTTGAGTTTGACTTAGGTTCTTCAGAGGCCAGGGCAGCTTCTATCATAAAAACAGAAGAAAGTTGAACCGGGCAGAAGATTCAAACATCTGTCAGTACTTGAGCTAGACTTTTTCAGCATCCAATTCGTTTTCAGCATCCAATTCGAAGTCAGAGGAGGGGTTTTCCTTTGATTTGGGTTCACATGGAGCTCCGGGCTTTTGAATTGTCAAAAGCTGCTGCCTAGATAGATCTTGTTGAAAGATTGCACTCAAATATGAATGGGAGTGTACCAGGTTTCTTATTTATATAGGGTCTCGACCCTCTATAGAAATGAAGATGATTGTTTGTTATTTTTTTTTTAATTTTTGCCTACTTTGTAGGGCCCAGTCTTTATAGATAATTAATTTTGATCAATATTTATTTTTAAAAAAATTATTTATCACGTAACATTATATAAAGAATAACGAGAACAATCATTATAAATGAAACACTATTTTATATAGAACAATTAGAATATGTGAAACATTACTTCATGTGGAACAATTAATACAAATAGAATAACTATTTTGTACAAAATAATAATTTCACATGACAGTGAAAGTAATCCGGAATAAGTGACATGGTTCATGAGTTATTTTCATATTGAGATGTTCTGGAGAGTTTGACTTGGTGGCTCAGATATGGAGATAGTTAAGAGGTCTTCCTTAACCTTTTATTGAAATACAAATATTTTTTAATTTTTTCTTATTCTTTTATATTTGTTCACATATAGCTTTTTCTCTTATACCTATTCATGTACAGCTTCCTCTTTTGTACCCATTTACGTATAACATTTTCTCTTGTACTTGTTCATGTACAGCTTCCTCTCTTATACTTGTTCACGTACAACTTTTCTTTATTAACTCCTACTCGAAAACAAGTTTTATTAAATATAATTATTTCAATAGTCACATAATAAATTTTAACCGTTACTCAACATTAACTCTCAATAACGGTTACTTAACATTAAAATTTTCCTTAATGATATCATTCATTATACGTATTAAAATCTTTTCTTGTAACTATTATTTTTGACACTATATAAATAGAGTCTTCACAACTCAAAAGAGAACTTTTTCAGAACTATTGGATTCTGACTCATAGCTTTTTTTTTAACCTATTCTCACTTAGAACGCTTATTATTTTCTTATTCTCTTCCACCTGTCACGATATTTAGTACTTCAGAAACTGCTTCAATCTTCCTCTCTATCACCTCCGGTACATCACTTACTTGTTTGCAATGCTTTCTCTTCTCTTAACAAGAACCTCATTTACAGCCTTCAAGATTCAGATTCTGAAAGCAGGTTTCCTTTTGCAAATTCTGAGAATCCAGTTATGGCTATGGTACGTGACTAGTTTATTCGGGTACCTAATTACTCTCACTCTTTTATTAGTAACTTAAGATCTATTAATATGAATATATCACTGTGGGGAGTGAGCATAGAATCAGTTATTATTTATTTCTCTAAAAATGTTCTCAAATTTAACTGCACTGAATTATGATACTTACATGTATTCTGCTGGTATCCTGGTAACCACCATTTGGCGTAAGAGAAACAGGGAAGATGGAAATGCTGCTAATAGTGGAATTATCTTTTTGTTTTTTTAGTCAGACAAGTAGTGTAAAGATAATTTTCTTATTGTGTAGCTGGAATGAGAAAAAATGTAAGAAGCTGATGGGGGTTGACTTGCTGTCTTAACAGATTTCTCAAATTGGACAACTTTTCTTTTTGAGAATATCAGTTCATCATTAATAAGCTCTATGCTACAGGATAACTTTTTCCCTAAGAGATAGCAATGAAATTTTAAACAAAGATGGATCTAAGTGTATTTCTAGCTTTTTCGAACATGGGTCTAACTAGTGGAAAATATTCAGGTTGCTTTTCTGGCCTCTTCTGTTGGACCTAGAGTTGCTGAGGCCTGTGCCCATGCATCCTTGGCAGCATTGTCTGAAGATGTACAGAAGGAAGGTTCAGGGCATGGTAATAGGTTAGTGCATGTCCTTGTGATTCCCAAACCCTCAATGATATTACGATGAAGTTCTTTAGTATCACTTTTATGGGCATATCATGGCTTCCATCTAACTTATGAAGATTATATGAACTGAATATTGAGCATTTCATTGCTCTGATGGTATTGGATTCCCTAAAGCTTTTTCATCCAAATTTTGCATGTGAATTTACTCATTAAGATCCATTTTCAACTCTGAGGGACGAACACAGAGAGTGTACATAGTAGAGAAGGTGGTTTTCATGGTTCTATTCATCAAAGGGGTAGGTTATAGGTTTGACTTTCACTATGTTTTCATTCCTTTCCTCTCCCGTATTAATTTTTGTGTATTCTGAATTATTTTTGTGTAAAAACTAGAGGAGAACTCGGCAGTACACGGTTCATTTGGTCAAAATGAGGGAGAGGTTCACCCACTATCTGCAGAAAAAGTTAAAGCTGCTGCCAAAGCGGGCCTTGCTGCTGCAGCTATGAAGGCAAAGCTGTTTGCCGATCATGAGGAACGAGAAATTCAAAAGCTATCAGCTAATATCATAAACAATCAGGTAGTTTTCTTGTCTTTTTCGCATGGATCTGCTTTTTCGGCAACATATTGCCGGTAATATGTGGGCAGTTGTTGGCTGATAAGAGAGTTGACCCTCCTTTAAAGACTTGAAACCAGAACCAAAGAGGCGGTAATATGCTGGGCATTGTTGGCTGAAAAGTGAGTTGACCATCGTTTAAAGACTTGAAACTGGACCAAAGAGTCGTTGTCATGTTGCATTAACCACAAGCTGTTGTTATTTAGCCTAAAAATGAACAAAACAAAAGCCATAGGTGCATGCATTTTTTCTTTTGAAACTATAAACTTTACTTAAATATGTCATAAATTTGAAGATTCATTTAGAAGTTCTACACCAGTTGGGATCTGCTTCAAAGCTAGGTTGTATGTGTCATTCTGCTGCTTGAGCGGGAAAACTTCTGTTGACGCAGCTTCTAAGTTGACGTTTATATGTTTCTTTAACCCGTCATTCACATTTCTCTTACACCAATGTTTAAAGTAGGAATCCCTGCCTGGGAGATTG